GCTCGTTAGTCAAGAATGAGGGGAAGAAAACCCTAGATGGGGCTCGTTAGTCAAGAATGACTGCCCATCTAGGGGAAGGAAAACCCTGATTTTAAAAAAAAAACTCCGCTGCCTTGCGGCTACACCTACACGCAGTAAAGGCTTCAGGAGTAAACCTCGAGGAAAAATCTGGAGTCAGAGTCCCTAAAGTGGCTGGATGTCAATTTGGACGTCCGACCGGCAACTCCTGCAGTCAAGTCGGCTCCAAACGTAATGCTTGTATTCCCTTGGACCCAGTCGGCACGACCGAGGGGGAGATCCTGTTGTTTGGGCAGCGCAAGGTCTCCATACTTCCGCCCAGGCCTGTGCACCTGAGAGATCACGCTTGTCCAGTGTGTGAGCACAAACGGGAGACGATAACTACGATAACCAACGGGCTATAAGTCCTCGCTCAAACTAGCGTAGAGTTGGACTCCGGGGTCTGACTTCGAAGGTGGGGGAGTCATTGTACCGCATCAGCAGATGGAGTCTCCATCACTTCGAATCGCAAGTTGGAACGTGCGTACGATGCGCACCGGCTTGTCCGATGACCTCCGTGTCATTTCAGACTTGGGCAAGACCGCAGTGATTGATAGGGAGCTACATAGACTAAACGTGGATATAGCAGCGCTGCAGGAAACTCGACTCCCTGAAGATGGCTCCCTAAAAGAGGAACACTACACCTTCTTTTGGCAAGGGAGAGGTATCGGGGATGTGAGGGAACATAGAGTTGGCTTTGCCGTCAGGAACACCCTGCTTCGCATGATTGAACCCCCGCATGGTGGCACGGAGAGAATCCTCACCCTACGTCTTTCAACCTCGGCTGATTTTGCAAACATCATTTGTGTCTACGCACCAACGCTCCAAGCACCGCCTGAGACCAAGGATAGGTTCTACGAACTCATGGCGAATACCATCGATAGGATCCCAATGCCGGAGCATATTTACCTCGTGGGCGACTTCAACGGCATCACGGCATCGGGAAAATGAATGAAAACGGACAGAAATTGCTGGAATTCTGCTGCCACCGCAACTTGTGCGTGACAAATACGTTATTCCAGAACAAACTATGCCACAGGGCATCCTGGAGACATCCCAGATCGAAGCACTGGCATCAGCTGGACTTGATTATCACACGCCGCGGCTCTTTGAACAGCGTGAAACACAGCGCCGACTGCGATACTGACCACTCTCTGGTCATATCTAACATCAAAATTAAACCAAAGAAATTACACACTCTCAAGAGGAAATGCCAGACAAGAATTGATGCCAGCAAGGCCTCCTGTCCCGCTAGAAATCAAATTCTAGTCGAGCATCTTGCGGAGTTACTCCCTGCCGAACGGGCAGAGCGCGCAGTCGGTGGGTGGTGCTCTCTCCGCAGCGCCATCTATAATGCTGCTGTCTTGGCCTATGGCATAAAGGAGCGAAATGATGCGGACTGGTTTGGGGCCAACATCGGTGAGTTGGAACCTGCCATCAGCAGCAAAAGAAGAGCAATGCTTAAATACAAAAGTGATCCAAGCCAGCGGAACCTACAGGTATTGAGAGCGGCTCGGAAGCGGGCCCAACAAATGGCTCGCCGCTGCGCAAACAACTACTGGCTGCAGCTGTCGGACAGCATTCAGTGGGCCTCAGACTCTGGCAATGTTAGAGGCATGTACGAGGGGATCAAGCGAGCAACTGGGAGACCGGTGGCGAGGACGGCTCTGTTGAGGTCTAGGTCGGGCGAGCCTATCTCCAGCAGGACCGAACAGTTGAGTAGATGGGTTGAACAATATCTCGACCTTTACTCCAATGTTAACAACGTCTCGCAGGAAGCGCTGGACGCTATTGAGAACTTGCCTTCCCTAGATGCTCTGGATGCTGAACCATCTGTCGAAGAGCTAAAAAAGCCATCGACATCCTTTCCTGTGGGAAGGCAGCTGGAGAAGATGGAATACCCCCAGATGTCATCAAAAGGGGGCAAGCGGGCCTTACTTGGCCCCTTACACGAGCTCTTATGTCTTTGCTGGAGGGAGGGCCATGTACCGCAAGACATGCGCGACTCAAAGATTATCACTTTGTACAAAAACAAAGGCGATCGTAGCGACTGCAACAACTACAGAGGGATATCGCTACTCAGCATGGTGGGCAAGGTCTTCGCCCGTGTGGTGCTCGGTCGCCTACAAGCCCTCGCTGATCTCGTTTACCCGGAATCCCAGTGCGGTTTCAGGGCCCAGAGGGGCACATCAGACATGATTTTCTCATTACGCCAGTTGCAGGAGAAGTATCGTGAGCAGCGGAGGCCTTTGTACATTGCGTTCATCGACCTGACAAAGGCGTTTGATCTTGTCAGCCGGAGAGGTCTGTTCTTGCTGCTGATGAAGATAGGTTGCCCCTCCCCATCTTCTCAGCGTCATCTCTTCATTCCACGACGATATGCAGGGCGTAGTCAGCCATGATGGCAATACCTCAGAGCCTTTTAGTATCAAAAGCGGAGTATAGCAGGGCTGTGTCCCTGCCCCTACTCTCTTCGGCATCTTCTCACTGCTGCTCAAGTTCGCGTTCAGAGACTCAACTGAGGGCGATGACTCAACATACCAGACAGTTGAGTCTCAGAGTTGAGTTCAGAGACTCAACATACCAGAAGCGATGGCAAACTCTTCAACTTGGCTCGTTTGAGAGCAAAAACAAAGGTCCGCGCTGTCCTCATCAGAGAGTTGCTCTTTGCTGATGACGCGGTGCTGTCTTCCCACACCGAGGAGGATCTACAAAGGCTGTTGGGCTGCTTCGCTCACGCCTGCAGGGAGTTTGGCCTGACAATCAACATCAGGAAAACAAATGTTATGGGTCAGGATGTTGTAGTGCCCCCATCTATCACCATGGACGGAAATCAGCTCGAAGTCGCCGAGCATTTCACCTACCTGGGGTCCACCATCAGCAACAACCTGTCCCTCGATAGCGAGATCGACAAGAGGATTGCAAAAGCATGAAGTGTGATGGCCAGACTGAACGAAAGGGTGTGGTCCAACAGGCGGTTGTCGCTTCACACTAAGCTGAAAGTGTACCATTGCGTGCGTCACTAGTACCCTTCTGTACGGTAGCGAATTCTGGACCACATACGCTAAACAGGAAAACCGTCTAGAGTGCTTCCACCTTCGCTGCCTCCGCCGCATCCTTAACATCACATGGGAGGACAGGGTCACAAACACAGCTGTTTTGGAACAAGCCGGCACAATGAGCATGCATCTCCTCCTGTGCCGGCGCCGTCTCCTGTGGCTCGGTCACGTGCATCGCATGCAGGATGGTCACATTACCAAGGACTTGCTCTACGGGAACTAGGTGCGGGTGCACGCCCGACCGGCCGTCCGGCTTTGCGCTTCAAAGACGTCTGCAAGCGCAGCCTCAGAACAGCATTTATCGACTCCCAAACCTGGAAGCGGCTTGCGGTCGACCGCTGCGGTTGGCGGCGAGCCGTTCGGGAGGGAGTCCGGAGGGGTTAGGAGCTGCGCAGCCGAGAGCTTGAAGACAAGCGATGTCTCCGGAAAGCCAGACAGCAGACAAGGAACAACATCGTCGCACCGTCAAGCTTCATTTGCGCCAACTGCGGTCGACGATCCACTGCACTGCAGTGTGCGATCCACTGCACTACAGTGTGCGATCCACTGCACTGCAGTGTTCGAGCCACTGCACTGCTCAGACACGAACCCCAATAAATAATTCGAACACTATCTATTAAAGACTGCAGAAGACACGGTTAGCTATATTCCTATGACAATAGATGTCTCTCATCGTTGTCAAACATTTTTATATATTGGTGAGCGTGTCGCCAGCGAAATGAGGCTACATCGTCCGTTCTATATTCATGGGACGTCTTTAATTGATAGTCCATCAGAATATAGCGTGGGACGACAGTCTTGGTTAAAAAAATGTTGAAGCTTTCTTCAGAATATCCGTGTGTATCGATTTCTATTAAAATCATGAAGATATTAGTCCTCTGTGATTGCTCAGTACAGGGCATGGTCGTGCGATAGTTTTTCAATCTTTTATTTTACAAGTCAGATTTTGGATGGACCGTAGTGCAGCTGCCGTTGCTGTCCAGAATCACGCGATTCTCCTAACAGTAACTTGAAATGCGCTGTGAAGCCAGTGTGTTAAAGACCGCGCAGATTATATACTATTTTACTTACTGTTAATAGAAACATTTATTATTGACTGTTACTATTTATTATTCATTTATAAGCGGTAGACTGAAATTCAAAGGGAGCGGTCCTGTGCATCAATTGAAAAAAGAAACATATCTGCACCGAATTGATAAGGTTTTATCATCGTAAAATCTGCTGACATCCTACAATAAAATACGGAAATTCATCCCAGGAATTCTGACCGTCGTATGGTACACCAACGTAAAAAATGCGGTTCGCCGCCGTGGCGCTGGCGGCGTTGGCGTTGTGGCTACGCGGCATAGGTTCGTGCGTCACGGCGCTGGCGATGTCCTAAATGGGGCGACTTCTACGGCATCCTGGGCAAGGGGCTGACATCCAGTCAAGTCTTCGTCGAGACGCAAGTCGAACGCACGTGTGAGTTGAAGCTGATATACAGCAAGAGGAATAAGCTACATTAATGATACTTTTGGGTCTCTGAATGCGATATCTACGATACGTGGAAGACACAACACTCAAAGAATATTATATAATATAATCTTGTTGTGTAATCTTTTTGAATATATAATCTTGGTGTCGCCTGTAGGTGAAGCTTGTTGGTCGTCAAAAAGAGGTGCTTGCAGCACGGCCTTTGGTGGGTGTCTTAAAAAAACTATGGGTACTTGTTGCCTCGGGGATCTTAATGTCATATGGTCAGTGAAATGTAACGATGTATCCAGCCCTGCTTGTTCATTTATGAAAGCTTCAATAATAATCTTCTTATAAGGCATAAATGATTACAATGAGAGCAGTAATAATATTTTTAGGGTGACAAATATATCTGTGAATAACCTAGGAGTTGCGTTAAAGTTGAATGTAGTAATGCATCATTCTGACGACATTGAAAACCAGTAATTCTTATGCATGTATTAAACAATTTCAGGCCCCATCAATATCAAGTAAAATAAAGATTAATGTTTTGTTTGCTTACACAATTTTGAGTTTGGGTGTTTTTCAAAGTCAATGAAGTGTCATAAAATTTTTCTCGTCAAAAATTTTTTTCCTGTTTTTCTTTTTAAAAGAGGACAATACTGAATAAAATTTGCAATAGTGTGGAAAATAGTAAGGCATCTAAAGCAAAAATAATAAATGAAATATTAGATTTTAGAATTCCACAGAAAACCAGCAAATACCTTCATTATATTTATCTTTGAATAGAATAGTGTTGACAGCGTTGATCAGGTCACGAGACTTGTCGCTGATTCTGAACGTCACAGCATTAGAACAATTTGTTACGGGTCTCGAACATGTAACTCTCTACTCCAACTTTGCTGCGCTCAATCGCCCGGCTACTAGCCGATTTTGACGCCAAGTGTCGCGGGTAGCAGGGTTTGAACCCACAACCCACTTCTCCTATCCCGGTAGTCTGAAACGTAACCACTGGGCCCTCCTCTAGACTAACTTTCTCCCATCCTGTTGTTACCGGTCGAAAAATATCAATCGAATTTCTCGGAAAAGTTTGTATGTAAATCATTAGTCGCTTGCGGGTTTTTATTCGCTAGATGAATGAAAATGTTCAACTGTTTATTTATGACTAGCGCTACTCGGAATGAACTTGCAGAAAAGACCAGC